AACGAGAGATGCCCTTATTGGCATAGATCAAATGGCTTCTATGATTATAGGTTAACAAACTTGCAGCTCTCTCAACATTTTTTCCCCCCGTTTTATTATTAATGTTAATGTAAGGATTATATTTACAGGGCATATAGAATATTTACAGGGGAGCACTCTGTGCATTTGCTCCCTCAGGCACAAGACACACTAAGGAAGATTTAACTAATGTGAAAATTTGGGATCCACTTTAATATCATCATATGAGTATTAAAAAAGCAAACATAAGAGTATTTAAAAAATAAATAGACTTCCCAAAAACTTAGTTTAGAGCATCCGAAAATTAGACTGTTTATGTTCAATCTTAGGATGTCATTTGTTTGAAGCAAATATAGAATTCCTATGAAGATGATAAAAATTTGGGTTCTTGAAAATATTCCTAGGTAGGGTTTCACCTCAATGAGTGAATGTGTGACATAACCCTATGTGGGCATATATATTTCAACGACTTCCTCTAGCTAACAAAATTGATGTAAATGTATTGGAGTATAACAAATTGTCAGTGAAGATTTTACAAAACTTTAGAACCTTGAAGCTATGAGGTAGGTATTAGAGACTCCCTCCTTGGCTAAGCAGTTTGCTACTTTATTTTACTCTCTACAAGCAGGAATGAATTGGACCACCAAAACCTCAAGAGATGTTTTTGATTTCATTACTGCTACTTTATTTTACTCTCTACAAGCAGGAATGAATGAGACCACCAAATCTCAAGAGATGTCTTTAATTTCATTAACAATGGGTTAAGAGATTGTCAATGATGGGTTAAGATATTTAAATGGCTTTATGGGTCACCTCTGATCCACTAGCCAACATTATGTGAATCTCCTTCTACCACCAATGCCCTTGATTAGTCTGTTAGCAGCTGAAAGGCTTCTAGGATTGCTAGGCTTTCTGCTGCGTTTGCGAAAGGTTCTAGTACTGAATAAGGGAGGGTATACCTTGGTAAATAGTGTCTTATCACTCTAACAACCTTAATTAGGCCCGGGTTTCAATATGAGCTTCCGTAAAAAAATTAACTCGGAAGACCTCTCGTGGTGGTTTCTAATTATTCAACCTTTGGAATCGGACTGGAACTTAAGTGGTTAGCAGTTGAGATCAAGCAATACTACTCTTGAAATTCGATTCCTTCCACTGGACTACCAAAAACAAAAAAAACTATTTGACATTTGATTTCTAGGTGGTGCAAACAGGACAATATCCTTAAATTGAGTCTGCATGTCAACTGAGTTAGCTCACCACTATTCTTTTTGTGATTTAGCACAGGCTATGATCATCGTCAAAGGTTTTTTTTGAGGGAATGGCCTTCTATGGCCTTATTGTTGAGTTTATTCATCTCCATCCAAAACACCGAGATAGTTGTTGAAAAAATATACAATGAGACCATTTATTTTTGGCACAAGGTGGTCACAATTAATCTTGGCCATTGAATGTGAAATTGGATGACTACATTTATTATATTGACGAAACTCAAAGTTCAAAAAAAATTAAATTATCTCAGACTTTATGACACATCCAAGCTACCAGATTTCACATCACATCTCATTCTATACAATCCCGTAATTATTGCCGAAACAAATTTTCATAGAATATGCCCATAATTAGTAAATGAGGGGATGACCATCGAGCAAAGAATTGGTTGACTGATGAGGGAAATCACGCGATGCACATCAAATAAGGCCAAAATCTAGTGCCAAGCCCCACAGTAAAAGAGTAATGAAGGACCACCTTAGTGCCTTTAAAAACAAGCATATATTTTGGTTTACCATAAGGTGCCTCATCCAGTATGACTAGCCCTCAAAAGCTTGGGGCATATATTTTGGTTTACCATAAGGTGCCTCATCCAGTATGACTAGCCCTCAAAAGCTTGGGCTTTGCAAGGGGTCATGAAAGCCCATACTGATGTAGTGGTGACTGATGGCTGCAAGTGCCCATCGTTATAAAGGAATCTATAGACCGAACTTAGGATGAACTTTTCAATGGGGCTAGTTCCTAGAGGGCATTCTCTTTGGCAGGGCAATAAGATAAGAGCACGTATATTATGCTCCTTCAGGAGTATAGTTTATTTCTATTCCCTTGGTCAGAAGACCTACTTTGGGGTTTTTTTTCAGTTAGAAATTCGGGGAACCACCTAGGAATCGCTAGATGATTATTATGAAATAAAAAATATTAAAATTTGAGTTTTCTAACACTCTGATCTCACCATCTAAAAATTGGATGGTCTCTATTCAATCTCAAGACATTATTTTTTTCAAGTGCATCGGCGATGCAATTAAGATTTTTTATTTTTTATTGAGGCTAATCTATGGTTCGAAAATATTAAATCTCCAAGATTTGGAGTCTTCAAATTAATTCTAGGTAGAGTTTTGCCCGAGGGAGTAAATGGACAGTATAATCCCCGAGAGTATAATATCTTTTGGCATAATATAATTGGTGCCTCAGTTGCCCATCAACACATCTTTGTAAATAGCATCTACTTGCACTGCTCAAGATATTGAAGGCAAAGTGGTCGAACCGCCCATCCAGTAGTCCTTTCATAAAGGAATCGAGATGCATCTCCCGTTGAGAAACGTTAGTCTCTACAAAGCAGGGGTTGAAAAATATTTGAAATGAAACTCAATATGTCATATCGTGACACCCACTACCTTGACAAGTGAAAGTCCGTTTCTAAATGACAAAAAGTCTTATAAGCATGCAGTCTCCATTAGAATCTCTCATCGCTACATCCCACATGGATCTTGGCACTTTACCAACAGACATCTCAGTGACCCGGAAATATTTGAATTAAAGTTGATCCACCATGCAGCCCAAAATTTCAGAAAATCGAAGAACTTGTTCTCTCAGGTTAAGCTCTTTGTACCCCATCGACTACACTTGGCTAAGCACCAGGCGAGGTTCAAGTCCTTTGTTCGTATGGTCATCAAGCCAAATAATCTGAAGGAAATGGTCAGATTATTATTTGATATTGGTGTGCAGCGCTTTCCCGCAGGAGCAAAATAGGCAAAACACTTTTGGGAGGTTCTTTGAATTGAAATTTTGAGAATCACTATGTTAATATTAAAAAGGATATATTTTAGATCTAGTATTCTCAAACAAGTATGGCCTGTTTCACTATTGGAAAATTATTTTTGTTCCAAGGCAATTTAGGGGGTGAATTCAACCTGGTTTTATATTATCGCTATAATGACTAGATAAAGACGCAAAATTCTATGGGTAAAAAAAAAAAAAGCAAAATTCTTGTCCAAAAAAAAAAAGAGAAAGCAAAACAAACTAAGTAGGTTCTTGCCAGAGGGAGTATGTTCACATTTTGCAACCGAAAGACCATGTAAAATTTTCAATTTAAGTCCACACACTCATTTATTTATATGAGTCCTCCCACCAGAATCCATCTCCATTAATTTAAGGTTTGAGAATTTAAACTACGGTGAACATGAATATAAATAAAGAACAAATTTTTAAATAAAATGACATTTTTTAATGTATTGTTAAGACCTTGCGTTTTAAGTTATGGGACCACCGTTACCAAACATGCATATTTGAGATGGATGTTTTGATGCATTAGGGGAGGGGATGGACGTGTCTTCTCACTTGGAAAACATCTCCTTTACCATATAGCACAATCAACAAAGAATACCCCGAAATATATTAATTAAACCACCATTTTTACAAGTTTTGATATACGGAAAGTGTTTGGTGAGTCAGTCGACTCATTTGTAGATATGTACCCCCTACAAAAATTTTCTTTATGTAAATCTCAGCAATGGTGATTGTGGATCTGGATTTTTTAATATTTAAAAAGAAAAAATCAATTTTTTTTAATTTGTTTTTCAACATCCATTTTGAGGCATAGTAGAAGCACCATTTTATGACATCCAACTTAAAGATAGACATCGGAGGCATGAGGAGACACAAGATATGATACATGAAGAGCTGACTCAATAAAAAATTCCTATTTTTAAGCATTGCAATGACGGTGGACAAATTCTTGCCAAATTCTCTATTCTAAAGAACCAATAAACTTTGTTATCCCATTTTCAACCTACGCAGCATCATATTTCAGTCGAGACCATCCAGATCGAATGACATGTGGCTAATAAAAGTGTCCGAATTCACTCGCATTCCTAATAGAGCATACTGTGCATCTACTCACTTGCATAGAAGACCTACTTAGGTGGATTTTATCGTTATGAATCTTAGAATCTATATTTTTAGATGAGTATTTCAAAAGCCCAAACTCGAGATGCAGCGTCGATTGTTTGATTCCCAGAGAAGGTGGCTTGTTTGAAGAGGTTACTCCCCAAAATTTCCCTGAAATTTAAGGTCCTAAAACTAGTATTAGGATATTACCCTTGGGAGTAAATCAATTAAATTTTGGCACGGAAGATTGGAACAGTGGTCCACCCCACCCACTCATCCACTTCTATAATGAAACATTTTTTTTTTTTTCCTTCTGTTGAGCCCCCTTTATAATAAAAGTCACAATGGGCCTAGCTTTTGATTGGAAAAGTTATAATTAGCCACTTGGCTTTTGCACGTGAAGAAAACCCTACGAGAGAGACAGGTTGGTAGAGGCCTGGCTTGGCTTGGCTTTAAATGCGTGCAAGAAATTTAGATTGCATTTTAAATGGACAGTTTGTTCCTGCAGGAACATGAAATCTTTTGGCTTTGGATTCAGGCAGGTGGATTGTCATTGGACGACTGGACCATCTCGTGCTACTTCCGCTGTTTTGATTGTGAACGGTGATTATAATCCTTCTTTTAGCTCTGTGGCTTCGGTAAGATGCATCTTCGAACTGTGCCGAAAGATGCTGGAAAAACTCCTACAATGGTTTAAGTATTTTTAAGTACAGTTATAAAATTTAAAATTCTCGATTGTGTAGATTGAGTAAATTTATAAACATTATAAAAAGATATCGTTTCTTTTTTTTTTAAGAACAAATTACCTATGGACCATCTTGGGGGGACTTTGACCATTTGATATCTATGCCTAATATTTCGAACACCATACCTATGTGGTTTTTTTTTTTTTCCTTCCTAACTTATTTTTTGTCGGGCAATGAAAACACCAGATAATAGGGCTATTCGTTTTGCAATCACCAAAACTATCCAGCGTTCGTATTACCAAAACAGCTTGCGTCATTTTAAGTTCCTAATTCTTTGTTGTTTGGTGTTCAAAATACCGAACAACTATTTGGTATTCTCAAAACGCAATGACCCCTCTCTTCCGATCATTTCTCTTCTCTCGCTCTCTTTCCTCTCTATCGCTTTGCAACTTTCAAGCCCTCTCTCTCTCTCTCTGGAGCAGGCATACGAAGCCACAACCTCGCAGATTCGGCCAGCTAATCAGGTATGTGTAATGGTTTTGTTTTATTTTGAGGGAAATGAGATTAATGGCGGATTAGGGTATTTGGATAGAAAAACCCCAAAATGTATCAGTGACGGATTAGAGATTAGGGTTTTTGGGTTTATGCCCTGGACACTTAGGAATTGATGAGGGATAGAAACCGATTTCACCATTTTAGAGAAGGATTTTATTCTTGCAAGGGGTATAGGTGAAGATTAGGGTTCGGGATGTGTTTTCTTTGGTAACATTGTGTTTTCTTATATTCATGCTCATCTATGGATGCAAAATTGTATTATTTTTATTTTTTGCCGTCTTAGATTAGCAAGGCTTTGTAAGCAATGTATGTAATGTTGATTTTGCTATAGGCCCTGATTAGCGGGCCAAAATCTGCAAGGTTGTGGCTTCCGATGCTTGCTTGCTCCATGGAGAGAGAGCTCGAAGGTTACAGGAATGTAAGAGAGTGAGAAAAGGAAAATGTCGAGAAGATGGGTTTGGGAGTATCAAATAGTTGTCTGGTATTTAAAAGACGAGACAACTAAAAATTAAAAATTTAAAATAATACGAGTTGTTCGATAATACGAAATAGATAATTAAAAATTTAAAATTTAAAATGATATGAGCTGTTGGATAATGTGAACGCTGGACAGCTTTGGTGATTGTGGAAAGAATAATTAAGAATTTAAAATTTAAAATGACATGAGCTGTTGGATAATGTGAACGCTTGACAGCTTTAGTGATTGTGGAAAGAATAGACGCACAGGGCAACTTAAAAATAAAAAAAACCACGAGAGTGCTCATAATATTGAGCATATTGGACACCAGATGATAATAAAACCCCTAATATAATCTGTACGTAATTTGCTTTTATATATATATATTTATTGATCGATAAGATTAATTGGGGGTTTTTCAACATCAGAGCGGCCCATTTCTACGTTTTGAGGGGCGCCTTACGTCAATAGTATAGTGGGATTAATATTTTTCATGCGACTTTGTCCCACAAAGAATGGGGCTTTCTCTCACCAACTTTGTCTATCGAGATAAAAATATGTTGCTACGGGGCTTTCTCTCTCTAACTTTGGCAAAGAGATAAAAAGGTTGGGCTGTCTTTTAAGGGACAGGAGCAGCTTGTATGGGCCGGCTACAACGTGACCAGGACGTGGTAGCCAGCACAGCACAGAGCGGACTCTTGTCCCAATTATTCCACTAAATTTAGGGGTGCTTCTCCACTTCCATTTGTCCATGCCCTACTTTACCTACAAATGAGCCAACTTTTAGAGAGAGAGAGAATCAACCCTGTAAAGAGCAAAGCTTTCATAGGAGAGAGACCTAAAACTCCTCATGCATCCACTTATGGAAATAGGAGAAACATGTTATCTCACATCCCCTTGGGAACGTCACTCCTGGGTGTGTTTGTTTGGCAGAAGTTTCGGTTTTAGAAGCCAAAACTTCTAAACTTTTCTGCTCCACGGGGTGTGTGGAAGGGGCGAGAGCTTCTATATTTGGTGTTTGTTTGGCAGAAGTTTCGGTTTTAGAAGCCAAAACTTCTAAACTTTTCTGCTCCACGGGGTGTGTGGAAGGGGCGAGAGCTTCTATATTTGGTGTTCTCATGGGGGAGAAAATCCATGCCCCCATGGAGTCAAAGCATTTGAAAGTTTCGACTTTTGAAGCCGAAACTTCCTTCGATAGTGTTGACTCCACATGGATTGTGAAGATGGGAAGCCATTGTGCTAATTATTAGAAAATGTAGTGAGGCATTGGTAAGGAGTCCAAAGTTCAAGTGATAATTGAACATGCCAAGAACTTCATCGATGCAAGGGAAGATACCTATGGAGAAGATTAATCATGAAACAGGTTTATACAATCGGATCGTTTATAAGGAGATTATTTATTGGAGGCTACAATCATTCTTGTCTATTAAATTTCAATATGAGTGATTGTTAGAGTATCATTGAATAGACATAAAGTTTCAAAAATGAAAAAATTCTTGGACTTCGCGATTCACTCCAAGCCATCCAATTTGACATCTAATAAGTGAGAATGATTGTGATCTCTATGTACAAAAGATAAATGGTTTATATAATCAAGCATGATACCTTCTCTTAGATATCTGTGCTATATAAATTTCACCTCAAATGTTTATGCCATCTAGGTTCTCTTCGAACCGGAGCTCCGGGTTTGGAGTATGATATAGAAGGATTTGAGTAAACTAGAAAAAAATATATTGAGGTTTAGGTAAGAAGTAACTTTCTATGGAGAAATTTTCTAAACTTCAGACGTTTGTAAGTAATGTAAGCCACATTTCTAATCTACTAGACCCTAACTTTTCGATAAGCTTTCTATGTATATGAATGGACAAGTGTGAGGATGGGGTTGAGGTTGTGGTAGTAGCGCCATCGGAATCTCAGCTACTACTAGTCTATGTTTCCATTCCTAGTAACACATTCGAAAACTACTAATAATAACAGGCAGGAGTCGTATTCCCCACTGATCTACTCCCCCCAAAAAAAATAAAAAATGAACAAGTGAAATTTGTGACCAACCTTGTTAGGAGATCTTGATGGATCTAGGTTACTTCTCAAGCCCCTATTGGCCTGTACATTCCTCTAACATTATTTGAGACCTTAGTCTCTATCATTTTCCTTCCTCATTCTTTTGACAAAGACATGGTAGCCCATATGGAATTAGAGCTTCCCACCTAAAAGCATGCCAATCAAGGTGATTTGATTAAATATTGGCGCTCAAAAACACCAATAAATCATAAGGTAACTTGGTGAGGTATTTGTGTTTAGAGCACTTGTGTCTTGCGATTACTATTATTTATTTAAAATGACTTAGAGAGATACTGTGGTTCAAAAATATCAATATCTCACATGATAATTTACTTAGTCAGATATGGCTATTGATGAAACTACTATCAAAATGGTTATGAGTGATGTGTTAGAATCTGAAAACACTATCATCCACATAGGTGCTTTTTGAAAAAATTATTTTAATTTGATGGAGGGATAAAGTAAAAAATTGTCCCTCCAACAAGTTCTAACACATTATTTTGAGTCGTTATGAGGCCTTTGAAAGTAAAATTTATCACAGACGAGATTTATATATTTACATTTCACTATCCCCATTGTCCTATTTCTTAAAAGTCTATGTACACATTATAAGGGGTCACATTTTGAGGGAGGGACAATGTCCAATTTCTGGCCCTCCATCAAAATTATAGCGGCTTTTATAAAACCTATGTGAGATATTGGTATTTTTGAACGCCAGTATCTCACTTTTAATACTCTATGACATATTAGTGTTCTTAAACATCAATACCTTATCGGTGATTGGACACGGTTTCTATGCAGCCAACCTGCATATTGTAGAAATGAGGGCTTGACAACAAATAAATTTTTTAAATATAATTTGATCCTAATTTTTAGAGAACATAAAATCTTTAACATGGAGGACATGAATATGAAAAAATAAATAAAAAAAATTTGAAAACTAAAAATAATAAGGGAAAATGACCATTACCCCCCTCCCTGAAACTTCCATCCCTATTAGCCTCTTGGGTTCACCAAAATCCCTTGTACCCTCTCAAATTTAAAACTTTGGGACTGTTAGCCCCATAATTGTAATTTTTACTTTCATTTTTTTTACAAATTTGATATTTTTATTTTACAAAATTTTCGCTACTCTTTCTCTTCCGTTGCCTCAAACCAATCTTACCTCTGTGGATCCTACTCTATAAATTAGACATGGAAAAAAATAAAGAAAATTTTCTTTAACATTATGATGTATTTTACAATTATATCAGTATCGTTTGAACTTGAAAAATGATTAATCAAGATATTTGTTACTATTGTTAATGGTTATTATTATTTATTTATTAAAAAACTTAATCAAAATAAGTATAAGAGATGAAATATTTAACAATTAATACATTATGGTTGTTATTATCGTTATTATTGTTATTATTATAATTATTAATTAATTTTAATTATTATAAATTATTATCATCGATAAAATTTATATATCAAGTCACAAAACAAATATGGATGGCTAATGTATGGGTTTGGTATTTTGTAAAACAAAGAGAGGTCAAATTTGTAAAAAGAACAAAGAAAAATATAATTAGGGAGCTAATGGTCCCAAAGTTTAAAACTTGAGGGGGTGCAAGGGATTTTTGTTAACCCAGAGGGTTAATAGGAATGAAAATTTCAAGGAGGGGATTAGAGGTCATTTTCCCAAATAATAATTATATGAAGAAAACATTTGGACTATTAGTTACTATTGTTTTTTAGATAGACCACCTATTTACATCCATCTTTAACCTCTAGACCGCATATTGTAGGAATACGGTCAAGCTCGCATGAAACAATTTTCCAAGGTGACTTAGTGAAATTTCTCGTATTAAAAATACCCAATATCTCATGGAGTAACTTATTAAATAAATACTTAAATTCAAGAGTACCATTACCTTATAGGGTGTTTAGAGTGAGATATCATAGTTTGGAAACACTAATATCTTATGACAACTTGGCAACTGTGAGATTCGGTGTTCATAAATGCCAAAATCTTACAAGGTAACTAAATGAGATATCAATGTTTGAAGATACAAATATATGATTAATATTGAGTGACAATGGTGTTAAAAAATATCAATATCGCATAGGCTGTATAGAGTGAGATATTGATATAAAAAAATTAACAAACATCCCGTATCGGCGAGTTTCCTGAAAGGTATTTTCCTTTCTTTTGAAAGGAGGGACATAATTGAAAGCAGCCCCTCTCACAACTTCTAATCCATTATTGCCTCATGGCATTGTCCTTTGAGAACCTTTTGAAATTAGGACAAAAAAGTGGAGGGGATGTTAAATACTGGATTTCTTCGATGTGGTTTGATAAACTTCCCCTTTTAAGACCCGAACTAAGAAGATACATTAAACAAAAAATTTCGTAGGAGTGATTTGGCAAATTTCCCAAGAAATCAATTAAAAATTTCAGAAGTATTATTCATAATCAAGAAAGGGTAAGTTTTGGTAGCAGTTGCTCAAAGTTTTGTGTAAGGGGAAATAACAGATGATTATAAATATTTGAGTGACAATTTTGAAATATTTAAACAAAACGTGGCACTTTGAAGCCACAAGAAACTAAGGTGGTTAGGCTGCTCTTTCCCATAAACCATGCAAATCAAGCTCATCATATACTTATATTTATTTTTGGAAAAATAACAAAAACATCTTAAAAAGAGACTTTCTAGATAACCTATCCCCAACCAAGTTTTTTTTAGCAACTTTTATCTCAAATTGAACTTTCTTAGGAAATACCCATAGTGTTGGACATCCCCCATTTTGTACCGGACTGCATGCCGAAAGTGCCGGACCGTCCCTATTTTGTACCAGACCGCATGCTTTCCAGAAGCTCAAAGTACTGGACAACCCCCCTTTTGTGTTGGACTGCATACTTTCCAAAGGGTATTTTGGTATTCATTTTACCCTTTTTTTTTTTTACTTGGGGGGTATTTGCTAGGAAAGTTAAAATTCGGGATAAAAATTGTTAAAAAAAAACTTGCTTGCAGGGAAATTGTCTAGAAAGTATGATTTTGGAGGGTTTTTGTAATTTTTCTTTCACTTTTCATTTAAATCCCTTAAATCCTCTAATTATGGCTTCTAAATATTGCACATATCTGACTTTTAGAGCACTAGATATTTTTCTTTTTTAGATATGGTGGTGGAGGTGGAGGTGGAGATGAATCATTTTACTAGTTTCTGCACTGAAACTGCACTTTCTAGCAATATTTGAAGCTCTATAAAGCAGCAGTAAAGAAAACCCTACTGTCTTCACTCATCATGTTTTACATATGCAAGCCACCCACTCACTCTCTCTCGTTAAATCATAAAAGAATCAGACCATTTCTCGATTTGTGCATGTCATCCTTGCACAGGGGCCACTGTAATCGTCTAGACACACACAACACATGGTTCCAGTGGAGACCCCACCTCTACCCCTTTCCCACGCATCGCTGCATGTTTAGTGGGCACATGCTGAACTCTAAATTATAAGCCTGCACTGGTTGCAGGTTAAGTAGGTTCAAGCTAGTAGCTAAAGTTAATTCAGGTTTATGTAGGTTCAAGCTAAGCAGGCAAACACGCTTAATTAGGTTAGGGCATGTGTTGATCTCTGAAGCGAATAACTCCTGAACTCGTTGCCGGTTACGTTATTACGATTAGCAGATCCAAACGAGTAGCTAAAGTTACTTGAGGTTTTGTAGGTTCAACAATGTAGCTAAGTCAGGCATCCAAGTTCAAGAAGGGCAGGCAAGTGGGTTACTGCGTGTTTGATCGTTTCCATAATTCTGTTGCTCCGCTTTTATTTTCGAATAAAGGAAAAAAAAAAGATATTGACATTTTGAAGTCGGCATTTATCACAGAGGATTCCATGGAAAATGCGAAACGGAACAAGCACACTCTGATTTTGATTGCAAATGCGCGAGTTATTGGAAGCAGTACATCCAAACGGGACCATAGACCACGGCTGGCAGCTAGTTAGAAGCATGTCCATGGATCGGGTAGGTCTTTGAGCATTTCAATCAAAGGTTTTGTAATCACTATTTGACCAACCATAGAACTTTACAACGTAATTTCTTTATCAATGATAATGTGGTCAATCTATTAAAAAAGGTTCATATGTACTTCATATTTGCATGGAAGAAATAATGATTGAACAGAGACTGTCAAATATTTGAATGATCAGATATTAGTAGTAAGCAAGTCAAAATCTTTTTTCTTTTTTTTCTTTTTATTGAGTACTGCTTTAGTGAATATGAAAAATTCCAGATGAAGAAAATACATATTTAGCAAGTCGCAGAATAACAATACATTGGCAAGCCAAAACATTGGTAATAAATGAATTTTGCTTTAGAAAGTCGGTGGCCAAAAATGGGGTAAAAAGTAAACCCAAAGATAAGTTTTAAGTTTGAGAATCAGTTTTAAGTTTGAGAATCGTGCCATGTGTGCTCATACTGAGAGTGAGAGAGAGAGAGAGGATGTCAATAACCAGGGAATGGGTTTAGAGGATCGGTGATTAAGGGGTGGATGCCTCAACATACAATCCTACCCACCATTCCCATTGTTGACATATCAATAATTTTTTTTAAAAAAAAGAAAAGAAGAAGAAAAAGGATGCCAATAACCAATTTCAAAGCCCGCCAGCATCACTAGTGTAGTGACATATGATAAAGGGAAAGTATAAAATATGACTGCTTTTATAAAAAGAAAAAGAAAAAAAAGGTAAGTTAAAAGGGTAAGTCAGTAGGGATTTAGGCCCTACTCTTTGGTGAGTTAAAATATGACTCTGCTTTTAGCGCAAGAAAAAGTCACAATTGGAATCTGTTGGATGTCAAATATAGGTGGCTGTGGCATTCAGATTCAAAGGCTAAAAAAAAAAAACTTTCAAAGATTCATGACAACCTATGAATCTCACATTTGACAGGTAGGGTTGATTTTAATCTCCTTGTACTTGTACTATAAATAAATGATATCACAGTATACAACCCAATTCATAAAAGGGAACTATTGCAAGTAAACATAAAAACTCCATCAGGAAGACCAACAATCTTTCTCTGTATTTTTTTAAAAAAAAAACTACAAATGCTGCGTAAAAATTTTCCATTTTAAATTTCGTTCCTCCAATCCCGTTTTGCCCACCTCCATCCATTTCAATAAAAAAATCACTCTCTTTTCAAAAGTTTAGGGTGAGTTTGGAGTTTGGACCGCTGATCTGAGAATACTCATATTAGGACTATCCTATAATCAGAAAAACAAAGTTTCTTTATTTTTTTCCCCAATACAGACACATTCTTAATAAATAGAACACTCAGCATAATGGGAAAAGAAGAAAATCATGACAAGGATTTGGTATTTGCTCCAGCTAGATTAGTTCCCTATTCAGACGGCTTAGGGTTATGTTCACATGTGTTTTATACGTGGGTGCCACCACATTTAAACTTTATCCTCATGAAAGAGGGCAAGCCCCTGGTTTGTATACCAAAAAAAGAGAAAAAGAATAAAGTGGGAACTCCAAACCCTAGTTTTGTGGAAAAATTCTTCTAGAGAAATCAAGGTGAATCTCAAGGGCTTAAGCAAAGTTTGTATTGGAAGGCTTTGTTACCGATGTTACGAGGGTCATCATTTTTATAGTTTTTTTCAATTAATTGGGATCGGCTACACGAATCCTGGTCCGCCATTCTGCTCTATCAAAAGTCATCCCCTCAATGAGGCCGTACGTCCCCATATCTTTTCGGACTACTTCCAACCTCGTCTTCGTCTTTTTGGGCCAACCTCCTGATGCCATGAGGGTGTTGTTCTAAAAGTACAACAACTATGACTGCTTCATCTTAGTCTAGTAGGACTGGGGATGCTTATAAAGATTTTATGCATGGTTTTCACTGATAATGTTAAGCTCCATCAATCACATAGGCAACGAGAAGACATGAACTTGGATTGTTAAAATCCATTATGAAATCTTAGCATCATATATTTGAATGAATATATAGCTTATGTTACAAGCACGTTGTATGTAATGCCGACGCCTCTAAGAATGCCATCTTTGTGGGAAAAAATTAAAACATTAGAGACATCTCATTGTGTTTTTCCATGTGCGTGCATATTCAAGGAGTCAATATATTAAGGGAAAAGTTTGTACAAGGTAGCAACCTTACTTGTAGAAGTAAGATTGCAATAATTTACAATGTCCATTTATTTGGACGGTGTAAATATGACACTCTCTTAAAAGATGCGCCACTTTTTGACACTATCTCAAAAAACACATAAGATCTACAGTGTCCAGGAAACTGCAACCTTACTTATAGTACTTATACGAGTAAGGTCGCAACCTTATATAACAACTCAAAGAATAAACTTAAATGGACAAAATTAACAAGAAGAAGTTGTATGATATTCAAAAAAAATAAAAAATAAAAAAAATAAGAAGTTACATATCTACCAACTCCAATCACAGAGTTTCAATTTTCAATATGCATGTTGATGGCCAGTATGATACATCCTATGTGTTTGATGAATGGAGGCTTGAAGCATGGATGCGCCGATGACGCTTGAAGAGTTTCAGATGCTTAATGCAAGTCCACAGGCTATACGAAGTGAAACGAGATTAGCACCCATAAGACACACGACTTTCCGAAGAGGATGAATGCACGGAAAGTAGAGCCATGGGATAGGCTCTGAACAAGTTGGTGCTTGATAAGGCATTTGAAGAGCATGAACTAGTGCTCCCTGTGCTGAAAAGCTCTTCATCCATAAGACCATAACAATGGTTTCCAAAGCCAAATCAAAACTTTCTGATTGAAACTTAGTTTGGGCACATAAGGCTAGTACTATGGAAGCCCTGTGCTTAAATAATAGAAAATGAAGAAAGAAATAGGTAAAGTCATGTAATTCATGCGGGTCATTGATCACAAGCATCAGCAGCGGAAGAATGTGGTCCGAGCCATATCAGCCATCAAGCTTAAAGAGCAGCCATAAGAGCTGTGGGTCCCTAGATGAATGACAAGTAATAGCTGATCCCATTTTGTGAAACACACGACATGAGGAACAAAGTGTGCAAAATATGTGTGGTCCAACCAAACTGCTAGAAATATCCTTGTTTATGCAAGAGAAGATTGGCTGTGGTAATGACAATTTGATCCATTGATGGATTTGGGGGATCAGGGCACATGGCAAAGGGTGGCACATATGACTCATGAGGCGTGCATGGAATCCATGTCATTGGCATGTACTGGATTCTACAGAATGGACATATGAAATAGAAGATCAATGCCAGTTATTAGCATTGCAACCCTCAAGCTATAGCCCACTGGTATGACATCCAATTTGTTGGATGGAGGTCAAAGGTTTGATCCTTGAAGTTTGTCCCAAATAATTACAAGCTAACAAGCACCCATTTCATAAAATTGTTAGCAGTGGAGAAGGGCTTTTTGGTTGGTGAAGCCTAGGATAAGTTAAACCTAAGAATTTTCCTAATGGAAATGAACCATGCTGGGAAAAGAAGAAATCCCTAGTACATGAGGAACAATGATGGCCAGAATAAGAGGAGCATGTTCATTGCAGTCCATGAGATTCTAGTCCCATCCTAAGTGCCCATTGTATTTATTGCTCAATACAATTTTAGGTTAGGTAGGTGTACTTGTGTGAGTCAATTGATGCTGAACAACTCCACCTTCAAACCAATTACCGCGAAATTTCTTTTGCAGGTTAGATGCATTAAATGTCCAGCTAATGCTTCATTCCTCTTCCTTCTTCATCGTCAAGAACTCCAAATTCTTCCAATGAAATGGTCATTACAATGTCTTCAACAAACTTCTTGGGGTCCCTGTACCTCGTCACGTGTGCGATTGCATTCTAAACAAACACAAAACTACTAACCATGAAACGGCTTGTGAACCCTGAAGATAACAGTCCATGAACCAAAAACTACACAAAAACACAAAAAGGATGTGCTTCAAAACACTTAAAACATAGACACCTTGTGGCGTATGATATTGAAACCCAAGAATTTTGCTGCCAACTAAACATAGAAGAAAGTTTGAAGTCAATCAGACACATTTATTTGTGATCCATAAAGTCACTAAAGCACTTCACCAATGGTTTTGAGCGTCCCTTGCCTCCATCACCAAGAGCTCCAAATTCCACCACTAAAATGGTCATACACTCACTCATTGTCACTGACCAATTCCTACGCATCTCATTTACAAGTTCTCAATGGATCCTAAAAAAGCTTAAAATTAGTCACTAGCCTCTGTTTCCATGAGATCAGAGTCCAATTTGATACTAACTTATGCAAACAGACTAGCACATAACATAAAAATGCACAAGAATCATGCTTCAAAACAACCAAACCTTGAAACGCCATGAGGTTTATGAGATTAAAACAAAGAATCATATTGTCAAACAGATAAAGAACAACCAAAACTTGAAATGACATGAGGTTTATGAGGTCAAAACAAGGAATCATATTGTCAAACAGATAAAAAACTATGAGGTCAAAACAAAGAATCGTATTGTTAAACAGATAGTGAACAGTGGCACATGTGTGAGAGAGAGAGAGAGAGAGAGAGAGAGAGTAGTATCGACC